AGGAAGACCGCCTTGCCCTTGGCTGCGCGAGGATGCGAAGGTCAGCAATGGAGAGACGAAAGAGCGGAGTGAGCGGGAACGCACCGTCCTTGGCGAGGACCTCCTTGGCGTACTTGACCTTGTAGTTGGCTGCGAGAGGCGGAGAGAGTCTGCGGAGGAAGAGGAGACGAGGGACGAGGAAGGGAACGCACAGACGTCGGCGTACAAGTTGCGGTAGCAGATCTCCTTGAGCGAGATCTTGGCCGCCTTCTCCGCTTCGTTGTAGTTTGCCTGCTTGACGACGTTGACGCCGACTCCGGGGCTGGGCGAGGCGAGCGCGACGGTCGAGAAGGCCGTAAGCGCGATGAGGGTCTTCGAGAGCATGTTGAGGAGGTCGAGGTGGGCGAGGAAGGGAGAGGGTGGTTGACGAGGAGGAGGAGAAAGGAGGGAGAGCGGCGTGCGCGGAAGTCATGGGCGTCGGTGGGACGGCGAGTCGACGCATAGAGTGAGGGCGAGGGAGGAAGAGCAGGTAGGACGGAGGCGTACAAGCCTTGGCAGCGTGTCACGCGGATGCCTCCAAGATCGCATACATCGACTCGGGTAGCACATCGCAAGTCAGGTAGCACGGCGGGACTTCAACGCGAGGAGTCGAGGAGGAAGAGCAGGAGGGGCGAGTCGGCGCCTAGCGGGAGACAGGCGCGTCAGGCAGAGCCGGCACAGCGGTCCAGCAGCCCACACACTTCTGGCTGCCCCTCGTCACCTTTGCTTCGAGGAAACTGGCGAAACTGATGAGGATTGGCGAGGAAGAGAGGTCGATGGCAACGGCACGGACCGCGGTCGGACCAGCTGCAGCACATTCGAGTAACTTTGTTGCGGTCGTTGAGAGCTCAGCAAGCCAGTCGGAGCGACGCCGCGAGCTGGTGAAGCACGACCTCTTCCTCGACGAAGCTCGACCGTGTCCGCTCAACACGACTCGCTCTTCCCGCTAGACAAGCCCAGCTATGGCACGACTGAGCACGCAGCCTGAGACTGTCAAGGCCGTGCCCCTCCGCTCGGGCTTCTACGCCCTCCCGCTCAACAATGGCAAGACACACCTCTTCGCTCGCTTGCACCACGCCACGGCTCACGAGGGACAGGAGGACGGAGCCGACACGACCAAGCAGCTGTTTGTGACGGGGTTGCCGCTCGGAGTGAGCGAGAAGGGGCTCAAGGTGGCGCTGGCAAAGGTCTGGGGCGACTCGTGCAAGGTCAAGGAGGTGCGGGTGCTGCCTGCGGCGTCTACGAGGGGCTACACGACGTTGTACGAGAAGGAAGTTGCGGCTGCGCAGGCGGCGGAAGGGGCGGGAGCGCCCGAAGTCGCGCCGCTGTTCGATCCGTCTGAAGCCTCGACATCGACTGCGATTCCTCCGCCTCACTCTGCAATCGTCACCTTCTCCTCGACACCTTCTCTCCCTCCACCTGCATATCCTCCGACTACCGCTCTCACCCTCCCTGCCGCTCCCTCGCTTCTCTCCGCCTCTGCCGCACGACACGCCCGCGCCCGCCCTCATCGCAGCGTCGTGATCGCCCACGTCGACGAATGGATGCGCGCCTACGACGCACGCAAAGCTGCTGCTGCGCCGGCGTCATACGACCCTGAAGCGGCACGTGCAGCGGCGGAGGAAGCGAAGGGCAAGAAGGCGAAGAAGGGGAAGAAGGGCAAGGCGGTTGATGTCGGACCGCTGCCGGGCTCGGCGGCCGAGGCGCTCGCCAAGTACCAGGCTGAGATGGCGCGGAAGAACGACGTGGCGTTCAACCCGGATGCGGAGGACGACGGCGAGTGGCACACGGTCTCGCGCGGAGGCAAGCACGGCAAGAGCTTGCTGCCGACCGACGTCGTGCCGACCTTGACGGGGTACGGAGGCGTCAACGTCAAGGTTGCTGGGAAGAAGCGCGGCAAGGCTGCGGCGGAGGAGCCGGCGAGGATGGATGCGGGCGTGAAGAAGATTGTCGGCGACGGTTTCTACTCGTTCAACCGCGCCGAGGGGCGCAAGCGGGGTGCGTCTCGCCATCCTCTCGCTCGCTGTGACGCTGTTTCGCTAAATTCTCTCTCGCTTGCGCAGACCTCGCCAATCTCAAGTCGCGATTCGAGGAGGACAAGCGGCGGCTGGACAGGCTTCGGGCAGGCGGTGCGGGCAAGCAGCGGGGTGGCTCTGCGGGATCGAAGGGTCGATTCAAGCCGTACTGACGAGTGCAACGGCGGGCGTCGGTTACACTGCTCTGCGGGCCTCGCTGCCTCGTCCATCGCGCATCGCTCGAAGAGAAGTGGGACTGGCTTGGCGTGTGCGGTTTGTATTGACTGATTAGCCTCGAGTTGTAATGACGATAAGCTTGTTGTCCCGGAGCCAAGTTCGGCCTCGGGTTCGGACCGTCGTCGGCAGCGTCGAACTGCGCTCGTCCTCTTCTTGCTCCCGTCCTCGCTCTTTCCGCTCTCAAGCTCAGTACACGCTACTACACGCTCGTCGACATGGTCAGCACCGAGCAGTGCATCGCGCTCGCTCACGGATCCAAGGAGGCTATCGAAGCTTGCCTGGACGCTCGTCCCCAGGATGACCAGTACGGCTATGTCCCGAGTATCTCGCTGGTGCGTCCCAGTGTCCCTTCTCAAGCGATCCCGGCTCATCCGCGCCCTTCCGCGCACGCAGGGAGCCGTATTCGTAGTGGTCTTCGGCATCAGCGGACTCGCTCACCTCGGCCAGCTCGTGTATGCCCGACGGTACTGGTGGATGGCCTGCATGGTCGTTGGAAACATCCGTGAGTCCCCTGCACACGTTCTCGCGCACTTCGCCAATCCTGCGACTTGTGTTGCCGCTTCCGAACTTTGCGAAGGAACAAGCGCGGGAGGAAGAAGTCAGGATTCGCAGGCTGACATCTCCTCCTTCCTCGCTTGCAGTCGAGATCTTGGGATGGGCGGGCCGACTGTGGGCGCACTACGCCCCGCTGAGCTTTTCCGCATACGTGATGCGTGAGTTGCGGCGCCTTTTCGCTTTCTCTCCCCTTACTTCGCGCTTCCTCAACACCGCTGACCATGTTTCAACCGCTCCAATCGCACAGAGATCTGCACGCTCATCATCGCCCCGACATTCATGTCAGCCGCCCTGTACTGGGCCGGCGGACTGATCATCTCTCACCTCGACCCGTCAAGATCCTGGCTCTCGGGCAACTGGTTCAAAGCGATCTTCATCGTCGCCGACGTCGTCAGTCTCGTCATCCAGGCGATCGGAGGCGGAATGGCCGGCTCAGCAGTCGGCGTCGACCCCAAGCCAGACCAACTTCGCACGGGCTCAAACATCATGCTCGCGGGAATCGTCATCCAGCTCGCCGTCATGGTCTTCTACGTCGCGTACATGGCCATCTGGACGTTCCTCGCGCGCCAGAGCGTCAAGCGTGCAGGGGCCCGCGTGCAGCTCATGCTCCTGGCCTTGTTCGCCTCGTCCCTCGGCATCATCATCCGTGGATGCTATCGAACTCCCGAGCTGCACGAGGGCTTCAAGGGCTGGATCGCAACGCAGCAAATCTGGATGCTGTTCGACGCGATTCCGATTGCCTTCTCCACCTTCGTTCTCAAGTTCGTTTGCGCTTTCCTCCTCTACTCCCGTCTTCTTCTAGCTGACGCCCCCTTCCCTGCAGCGTCATCCACCCTCACTGGTTCCTCGTCTACCCTCACGACCTCGACTCGGTCTACCTCTCCGACAAGCCGACTTCTTCCTCCTCGCCCGCTTCGACCGCGACTCGTCACGACAGCGATACAACTGTTGCCCAAGGTCTGCAACATTCACCTGCGAAAGGCGAGAAGGTCGCGCAGCAGGTCTGAGGGGAGGGGCGAAAGGACAAGATACCCTCGACATAGACCTTCTCTTTCTCCTCTCGCGTCTCCTTGCCTTTCGCATGCGCACTGCTTTAGACGGCTCCTTTGCTTTCGTTCGGACCCTGTAGACGCATGTAGAACTCCCGGAAGCCGTAGCACGTTCTTTTCGTGGGCTGAGTTAGGAGCGAAAAGGCGAGTGACAGCGTCGTCGACTTCGCGGTCGGGCGTCGGAACTTCGCCGTACCTGATCATCGCTTACGCTTTTCGATCCGTGCTGGCGCCCGGAGCCGGAAGCTTCGTCGGCGGTTTCACTGATCGCGCTCTGCTTCTCCCACACTTCTCTTGCCTCCTTCTCGCTCCTTAGACTCGAAACGAGCTCCGTTTGACATGTCCAGCACCGGGCAATGCATCGCTCTCGCTCACGGGTCGAAGGAGGCTATTCAGGCTTGCCTCGACAATCGCCCTCCGACCGCTCTCTACGGCTACATCCCCTCTATCTCGCTCGTGCGCCCCGACACTCCCCTTCAAGCGACGTCATGTTGATTCTCTGACGGGCGCAGGGCGCGATATTCATGGTGGTCTTCGGTATCAGCGGATTCACTCATCTCGCGCAACTCCTGTACTCCCGGCGGTACTGGTGGATGGGATTCTTCGTCGCGGGCAACATTCGTGCGTTCCATTCGCACATTTTGAGCTGTTCCGCCAGCCCTGCGACGTTGCGTGGACGCTTCCAAAGCTCGAGGAATCGGCGGAGAGCGGGAAGTAACGATCCCTGACTGGCTTTTCCTCCTGACTCGTTCACAGTCGAGATCCTGGGATGGGCAGGACGTCTCGCGGCTCACTACGCTCCGCTGAACTTCTCGCTCTACGTGATGCGTGAGTTCCGGCGCCTATTCCTCCTTCTCGGTTCCTCCTCTCGCCTCTCCCGAATCGAACTGACATCCAGACTCATGGCAGAGATCTGCACCCTGATCATCGCGCCTGCGTTCATGTCCGCATCGCTGTACTGGGCCGGCGGCATCGTCGTCTCGCACCTCGACCCGTCCAAGTCCTGGCTTTCCGGCAAATGGTTCAAAGTCGTCTTCATGATCGCCGACCTCATCAGTCTCCTTATTCAGACCATCGGCGGTGGATTGGCAGGATCCGCAGCCGGCTCGAAACCGAAACCCAAGCAACTTCGAATGGGGAGCGATATCATGCTCGCGGGTATCATCGTCCAGCTCGCCGTGATGGTCTTCTACGTCGCGTACATGGCCATCTGGGCATTCCTCGCACGCCACGCCGTCAAGGGCGCAGGAGGCCGCATGCAGTTCATGCTGCTCGCTCTCTTCGCCTCGTCGCTCGGCATCATCGTTCGCGGCTGCTATCGAACGCCCGAGCTGCACGAGGGCTTCAAGGGCTGGATCGCAACGCAGCAAGTCTGGATGCTCTTTGATGCCATCCCAATTGCTTTCTCTACCTTCGTCCTCAAGTTCGTCTGCCCTTCTCTCCTCAACTCCCGTCTTCTTCTAGCTGACGTCCCCTTTCCTGCAGCGTCATCCACCCTCATTGGTTCCTCGTCTACCCGCACGATCTCGACGCAGCCTACTCCTCTGAAAAGCAGACTTCGCCTTTCTCGCCCACTCCGACCGTTATTCGTCAAGACAGCGACAAGACCGTGGCGCACGACTTGCAGCATTCGCACACAAAGGAGGAGAAGGGCATGCAGCAGGTTTGAGGCGCTCCACGAGGACGGTTCGACCGTAGACATACCCTCTTCTCATTTGTGAGACTTGTTGACTTTCGCAAGCACACTTTAGACATACCCTGTAGAACCGCATAGCAACTCTCGGAATCGCAGTGCTCGTTTGTCGAACCGCAAGCGTCTTTGCAAAAGCGAGGGAATCTACAGATGCGAAGGAATGAGGCGCAGTCTGCGGACGAAATCTTGTCAGCGCTAGTCAAGCGAGGAGCGAATAGAGACCCACCTCTACAATTCGTCTCGGACCTTGGTCGCAGTCGCAGTCGGCGTGTCGGCCTCGCTCGCCTCGCTCAAAGTCGTCGACGGAGCCGTCTCCTCCGCCTGCACCGTCACCTGAACCGTGCTCGTCGTCTCCGCATACCCGTCCGGCGTCTGGACCGGCACCTTCCTCCTCTCCCAGCAGCCATGCTCGTCGCACTTGTCCTGTCCAGGATAACCGGCCTGGAAGTTCATGAAGAACCCGAGCATTTCGGCTTTGTCGGAGTCGTGTTCGGTGTGCTTGAAGGGTCGGTTGTTTGCGAGGTTCTCGCGAGAATCTGCGGAGAGGGAGTCAGCGGAGCAGCGAGGGAGGCGGAGAAAGGGAGGGGACAAACCATCGTCGGGCGAGGCGACTTTGACGGGCTTCTCTTCGTACCCGGCGAAGAAGCTGACCTTGACGAAGCTGTCGGCACCGGTACTCGTCGGCGTCGCGGCCCCGGTCGTGCTCGAGCCTGAGAAGCGAGGCGATATCAGCAAGATGCGGGAAGAAGGAGGCGACGAGCGCGACTCACCCTTCAATTCCTCCCCCTCCTTCTTGTAGTGACGGTAGCAGAATTCTTCGTAGTGCAACTCGAGAGCGTATTCGTCCTCCTTGACGCCGTCCGAATACCAAACTTGCTTGCGGTTGCCTGCTCGGGTCCAATTTCAGGTAAGCTGCGACTCGGAGTTGCGCTGGAGCGAGGTGGGAAGACGCACCGTCTTCAGTGAGGACAGGCTTGAGGTACTTTGGCTCCGGAAGGTCTGCGAGCGAGCGAGGTGAGGTGAGGGCGCGAAGGTCGACGAGGCGAACAAAGCGCGAGCGCACCCTCGTCGCCGAAGACGTTGCGGTAGCAGATCTCCTTGCGCTTGATGCTCTTCTGATTGACGTCTGCGCGCTTCTCCGGAGTTGATTTGGCGGGTTCTAGGGGAGGTGAGAGGTGAACGAAACGGAGTGAGGAAAAAAGCGCGATGGACGCACCGGAGGCGGCGAGGCTGAGCGAAACCAGCGAGAGCAGAGTAATCAAGGAAAGCGAGACCAGCATCGCGAGCGAGAGCGCCAGGAGGAGCGGAGGGCGGAGGGGAAAGAGCGAGAGGAGCGCAAGCGGGACGTTCCACGTCAACGCGAGAAGTCAGGAGGCAGGCTGCGGACTATCTTCAACCCCGGAAAGGAGGTCGAAGCAGCGCATACAAGGACGAGCGCGATTTGTCCGCGAGTTGGGAAGGTCCGGACGCATTTGAGCGAGGGCGACGATGTACTCGTCGTTGCGAGAACCTGCAGTGCACGACAGTGTTTGTATGGAAGTACAGTAGATAGCGAGATAGGACGATAAGGGTAAAAAGGGTCTGTACAGGAATTGAGAGTCCGTTCGTGTCTGTCTCCGCGGTTGCGATTCACTACCTGGCGACGCCGAGGTTCATGCGCTCAACGCCACGCTCGAGGCCGGATTGGCCAGTGGTGCCGTGCTCAAAGCCGGACTGGCCAGTCGCGCCGTGCTGAAGGCCGGACTGACCAGCGACGCCGCCGAGTCCAGACTGACCGGCTGCACCATGCTGGAGACCAGACTGGCCAAGCGCACCGCGCTCGTAGCTCGACTGAGCGGTCGCAGGAGCAGGGGAGGTCGATGCGGCGGCGGGAGTGGACTGCTGAGAGACGCCGTGGCCGCCGACGGTCGTAGGAAGGGAGCCGGCCGGCGCAGAGCGCAGATTCCTGCAAGGGAGACGGAGCAAGCATGAGTGAGCTGGACGGGCCTTGGAGAGCGAAGAGGCGTGACAGAGCATGCAAGCCTCGTCGCAAGAACGGAGATCTCAAGACTCACGACTTGTTCCCGAGTCCGTGCTCGCCATGCCTGCCATGCCCAGCGTGAACACCGTGGAAGACCGGTTCACGGTTGACGAATTCGACCTCGTAGCGTGTACTCTCACCACCAACCTCCTCCCTCTCATCCGCAACAAGCCTGTGTCCCTCCCTCGGCGGCGGCGGAGCCATCATTGACGGCCCGGCGACGGAAGGCGGGACGACGGTCGCGCCGGGCGGGTGGGAGACGGAGGCGTAGGAAGAGGGGTTGTAGCCGGCTTGAGCGGCGGGAGAGGCGTTGTTGATGGCCGTCGCCGAGCCGCCGCGGTTGATGACCGTCTCGGGCGAGAAATTCGAGTTGAGGCGGTAGCTGTGAGCGTAACGCGGAGCGATCAGTGAACGAGAGACGCGAGCAAAGTAAGCGCGAGACTCACTACTCGTGCAAGTCGCGCTGCCAGACGGGCTGGACGATCGTGTCTGCGGGCGATTGACTAGTTAGCATTACTTGGAAGAGCGGCGGGATCTTTCGCTAGCGCACGGTACTGCGGAGGAAAAGCAAGTCAGCCGATGGTGCGACGAGAGGCGGGAAGGAGGACGAACGTGGTGAATGACATTCTCGACGACTTGCGTCTCGCCCTTGTCGACCGTAACGCGCTCATGTGGCACGATCGTGTACGTGCTGATGCTCTGCGCGTTGAGCCTGGCAAGAAGAGCCTTCTCCTCGGCGGTGTTGGCGTGCGACTCCTCGACGTGGGTGACGGGGACTTCGCGGTACGAATGGACAACTTCAAGATGGCGCTCGTCGACAAGAGGCTGGACGTGGTGCTGAACGTGGTGGACGTGGCGGTCGATAACGCGGTGGCGCTCGATCTCCTCGACCTGGTGGATGTGCCGGCGCTCGTCTGCGGGGGAGAACAACGTCAACGCTCGCTGTCTCGTACTGTTCGTTTCGGAAACAGTTCGAAAGGGCGAAGAAACTCGGAAGACGGGCAAAGGGAAGGACAAGGCCTCGTCAAGCCATCTCAAAGCGCGAAGACTCACGAACGACGGGCTGAAGGTATCTGGGGGAGAGAACAACTTCGTGAGCATTCTACACAGGCCGAAAGGGGCAGAGGAGAAGCGAGCGCACTTGTGGTCGTGCTCCGCAGTCCTCGCCTGCTCCTCCGTCAAGACCGCGTCCGTCTTCGGCTGAGCGTGGTGGTGGCCAGGCGGGAGAGCGTGCTCCTTGATGTGTGCTCCACCCTCGGCAGACTGGATGCCGTCCGTAATCGAGACGGGAACGCCTTGAGGGAGGATGGGCTTGCCGGTGACGGGGTCGATGTTTGCGGCGTCAGTCGTCGTGTCGGCGTTTCCAGCGACAGCGCCACGCTCGACCCCAGAGGTTCCAGCGACAGCAGTGCCCTCAGTCGTGCTCCTCCTCCTTTCCCTCGCCGACTCTCCTCCAACAGCCGCAGCGGCTCCTGCGGCGGCCGCTCCAGTCGCGCCTGATCCGCCTACGCCCCTCTCGCCCTCCTTGGAAGCCCTGCGCTCTTCTGCCGCGCCCGAGACGGCACTCGCAGCCTTGTCCTTCGCGGTCGACTTGGAGCGTCCGAGGACGTCACCTTTCTCCTCTGTGGGCGTCGTCTCCGCGACGAAGAAGCCTGAAGGCGAAGTCGGTTTCTTGTGGTTGAACAAGCCCATCGTGAAATACCAGCTCGAGCGAAACGAAAGCGTAGAGCAAGCGTGAGAAGCGAGAGAGACGAGGACGAGGTGCGGAGAACGGATGACGACGGCGCGCTGCGATTGATTTGACCTGGGCGGCAGCAGATCCATGTCTCGGGAGCTCTTGCTTTCGAACTTACGCAACTTTGAGGCGCAGCGACCGAAGTATTGACGTAGGCTCGCAAGTTGAGAAGGTCACACTGCCGACGACCTTGACCCGGTGGACGGCGAGGAGGACTCGCTCGCGCTGAGATTTCAAGCAATCAAGCAGATTACAAGCTGCAACACACCTCCTCAAGTCCTACCACATCCCGCCAAAGCCAAAGGGACCGCCCCCAAACCCGCCGCCGTACGCTCCGTATCCTGGCGCCCTCCTGTGCGCCTGCTGCTGCTGCTGCTGCCTCTGCGCGTGCTCGTACAAGTCGCCCTCGTGCGGGTACCCGTATGCGTACCAGGGGACGCCGCCACCGCCAAAGAGAGACGAGGGAGTCGAGTAGCCGCCATACGGGACTTCGCGGTTCTGCTGCGGAGGCGAGCGGTAGACGGAACGTTGTGTCTGAGGGGTGTAGGCGTGGAAGGGCGAGTAGTCCATCTCGTCGTAGTCGTCGTCGTCGGCGTAGGTCGCTGGAACGTAGGGCTGAGGCGAGCGGCGGCGGAAGAGAACATCGGTAGGCTGCTGCTGCTCCGCGACTCGCCGACTTGGGATTCCCAGCAGCGCTTCGAGAGGGTCGACGTATCGGCGTTCCGGCTCGAAGTGCCGATGGGATGGCTGTTGCTGCTGAAGCCGCTGAGGGTGGATCCGGAACTCGGGGTGTTCCTGGACGTCCGGTTGGCGCTGCCGCTGCGGGTGTACGGGAAACGGCTGACGATTCGTAGCAGCAACATGAGGGTGGTGTGCGGCAGGAGCCGATGGATGACGTCCACGCAGCGGGACTTGACGCGGTCCCTCCTCCTCGTCTTCCTCCTCGACAGCCGCAGCGAATGCACCTTCTTCCTCGCCCCCATCGCCGTCTCCCGTTGCAGCAGACTTGAGAGCGTCATGCGCGTGTTCCTTCTCTTGCGAGGAAGGGACGGGCAAGCCCGGCGGACGAGCGAGTTCTTCGGTTACTGAGCCGGTGTCGACGGAGGAGGGGGTCTGAGGCATGGTGGACGGACGGCTCATGCTGGCGGTCGTCACGGTCGACACTGTGGACGCGATCTGTTGGTCTTGAAAGGCGATTGGAAGGCTCCGCAAACTACGACAACGCACCTTCGTCCGCCTCCGATTCTCCCCGTTCTTCGTCCGCATCTCCATCCACCGTAGCTTCTTCTGCGTCCTGGCCGCCGTTTTCCTCACCGCCGTCGCCTCGTTCTTCAGCCTGCCCGTCGTCTTGCTTCGCCTCATCGCCCTCTATCGCCGCTTTGCTCCACTCGGGTCCTTCCTCGCCTCTCTGCCGCGCCTCAAAGCAGTCCCTCCTCCACTTCTCGACCCTCTGCGCCTCACTCTCGACCTTTCTGACGAGATCCTTCCTCCTAGTCCTGACGTCGAGGTCTCCGCCCGACTCGACTCCGTCCAGCTCCATCAACAGCTTGGTAAGCGCGTCCTCGTAGCCATGGACAGGTGCATTCGTCGACGTGTAATCGAGTTTGGGCGCGTTCGAAGAGGCCGAGGGTTGGAACGTGAGAGAAGCGGGAGGAGGGGGAAGAAACGAAGTCGACAGCTCCGCGAATCGCCGTTTGATGCTGTCGAGCTGGCGCAGGCGCTGTATGCGTTCGTCTACGGGTTCCTCGGCGTCTTTCTGCGCTGCCTGTGGCCGTGGTTGTTGCGAGCGAGAGTCGTCGGCTTGTTTCGAGGGGTGGGGTTTGCGGTTGCGACGAGGTGGCGGGGGCTGCGAGCGGGAGCGCCAGGGGTTCGAAGTGCCGTACGCAGGATACATCCCGAGCCAATTGAGCCAGAAAGAAGCGAGTGGTCGAGGTGGAAGAGGGCAAGTTGGTGAGCTCACTGCTTCGCTGGCATAAACACACGCTCACACCGCTCGAGGGCTCAATTGACAGCTCGCTAGGCTCAAGATGGCACAGGCCACCGCGCAAGGAATGTCGCTCGCACCGCTGTTCGCTCTCTCGCCCGCCTCACCCGACTCCACCACCTTCCTTGCGTCCCTCTCCTCGTCGTCCACACTGCCCGAGCCCGGAATCAAGGCGTACCCAGACATCGTCTACCTGAACTACTACGCTATCGGACTGTCAGTCTCGCTCGAGCCGCGCGAGGGGTTCAAGCCGGGACGCGACTTGCGGTGGGAGCAGGTGTGCGACGAGGCGGGCAAGGGCAGGCTGGAAGTGACGGGCGTGGATGTGTACAACCACACAGCGGTGGATAAGAGCGACAAGCCGGTGCGACCCTCGAAGACGAGCCCGACGTACTCGCCCTTCCCCTCGTTCCCGCTCCTGATTCCGCATCCCTCGAAGCCCGACTCGCCGTTCTCTCTCACGTCTTCGACGACAGGCTCGGAACTCGTCTCTGCGTTCGGCGAACCGTCGCGGAAGGGAGGTGGAGCTAGCGGGACGTCGCTCGGCGTCTGGACAGAGTGGGAGGGAAAGGTCATGGTCGAGTGGGCTAGCTCGGGATTGGGCGCTTGGGAGAAGGGCGGAGACAGTCGCTGGAGGGTGCTGAGCTTGCTGAAGCCGCCGGCGGTGAATGGTGAGGAAGCGAAGTCGAATTGAGCAGGCGAAGAGAAGGCGAGGCGGCTCGACCAGGGCTTCCTGTCGCGGCGGAGCGGCTCGATAGGCGGAAGAAGCGGCGAAGATTGAGGTGCGGTGCTGGACGAAGCGCTACCAGCGGGACTGGTGCGTAACGAGTGCGACGCGGGTTCGTCGTCCTTCCCTTCTGCTTTCCTTCGCACTTCGTTCGCTCACCGCTATGAACATTCTCGCTCACAGCTCAATGTTCCGCTCCTCCTTTTCTCCTCTCCTCCGCCATCCGCCGAGTCCCTCCGTCCTACCGGTGCGACGCAGTCGCCTCGATCCCCTTCTTGGCACGCATGCACCGAGGACCTCTCGTCGACTTCGAGGGTGATGGCCAAGCCTCTCCGTCGTGCTACGTTGCACGATCTTCTGCGTACAAAAGGCCGCCTCCGCCCTGCGCTCCTTCTCCTCCCTCCGTCCCTCGCCCCTTCAACCAGCCTCGACTAGCCCCTCCACCTTCAACACCTTCCGACATGCTCTCCACCAAGACCATCCTCACCATCTCGGCTCTCGCGACCGCCGCCCTCGCTGCTCCCAGCGTCGCCAGCGACGACAAGGGCCTCGGTGCGTTTCGCTCCCTGCACTCAACAGCGTCCTCCGAGACTGAGTCCGACCTCGCTCGCACCTTCCTCGCACGCAGGCTACGGCGGCTACGGCCACAAGGGAGCCGTTGCGTACGGCGGAGCCGCCGAGAAGGGTGCGTTCCCGCTCGCTCCTCCTCAGCCTTCTTCACTCCGCTGACTATGCCTGTTCCCGCAGAGCAAGCCGCCGACTGGGCGAACGCCGAGAAGCAGGCCAACGCCGCCAACCACGCTCAGGGTGCGTCTTCGTTTCCTCCGCTCCTTTCTCTCGCTTCCGCTGACTCTTTCTCCGTCCGCTCTCGCAGCCGCTCACTCGGGCGCCGAGCAGGTTGCTGCCCACAACAAGGAGTACAATCACGCCAACGGCGCGTACGACAAGGCTCAGGGCAACGCTCAGGAGTGGAACAATGCCAGGAAGTTCGGCGGCAACGTCGGCCACGGCAACGCGTACAACAGCGGTGCTGATGTCGCCGAGCACGAGGCTGAGAACAACGGTGCGTTCGAACTCTTCATCGCTCGCATCGCCCGTTCCAGCGCTGATTCGCACTCTTCCCAGGCCACGCCGCTGGTTCGTCCCCTCCCTCTCGCCTCGCCAGCTCCGCCTTCGCTGACTTGCCTGCGTCTTCATCTCACAGCTTACGGCTCGAAGCTCGGCGGCTACGGCGGATACGGCGGCGGTGAGTTCGCACTGTCCTCTCTTCCCCTCCGATCTCCACTGAACTTCCTCGCCTTCTCGTGCAGGCTACGGCGGCAAGCTCGGAGGATACGGCGGAGGATACGGCGGTGAGTCGAAACACCTGCTTGCCCTCACTCTCGCTCGAGGCTGACCTCCTCCCCCTTGCGAAGGCTACGGTGCCAAGGGCCTCGGCGGATACGGCGGAGGCTACGGCGGTGCGTCCTCGCTTTCCTTCCCCTCGTTGTCGGCTGACCTTACTCTCGCTGTCTTCGCGCAGGCTACGAGGGTGTCAAGCCTGTTGGTGGCTACGGCGGAGGATACGGCGGGGCGTCCTCGCTTTCCTTCCCCTCTTCCTCGGTCTCGGCTGACCTTACTCTCGTCTCTTCGCGCAGGCTACGGTGCCAAGGGCCTCGGCGGATACGGCGGAGGCTACGGCGGTGCGTCATCGCTTTCCTTCCCCTCGTTGTCGGCTGACCTTACTCTCGCTGTCTTCGCGCAGGCTACGAGGGTGTCAAGCCTGTTGGCGGCTACGGCGGTGGCTACGGCGGCTACGAGGGCGTCAAGGGCGGCTACTCGGGCTACTGAGCGCCTTCCTCGCCTCGTGCGTCCTCCCTCGCGCTCTTCCTCTCGCCTCCTCGCGCTGACTGCTCTCTCCATGCAGCTTCTCCCCGTTCTCCTTTCGCAAAAGCACCCTCTTCGCTCGCATTTTACCCTTTCCGTTCCCTTTTCTTTCGCATCGCCTGGCTTTCTTCCCTCTCGAGTAGCTTAGCTCTGCATCCTTGACCTGCAAGCTTAGCCTCGCTTTAACTCCCTCCTGCTTTGTCGGGCTTGGAGAGCTAAGCGAACTTGGAACAGCGAGCAAGCATTCACGGCGAGATCGCTTGTGCAGTCGGACGAGGGAGAGGGCGGGCGCAGGAGTTTCAGCGAGAGCGAGGCAGGCGCAACGACGAATGCTCGACGTGTCGAAAAGGAACCCGTTACAACACTCGCTACCTCACAGTGCCGCTCGCTTTCCCGCCTCACAAACCCATCTCGACCTCACCCGCCGCTCGCTCGCCCAACCTGACAGCCCTGTCGTTCCCCACCTCGAACGTTCCGCCATCCGACGCTTCCTCGTACTCGAGGCGACGAACAGTTGGAGTGGGCGCGCGGAGGAAGCGAGGGAGGAGGGAACAAAGGACGAGGTGAAGGAGGCGAAGTTGGACGGGATGACGTGAGATGAGTGCCGAGCGACCTGTCTTGCTCGTTCCTGCGAGTAGAAGCATCTTGCAGCGTCGCGAGAGAGCATCTCCCCGAGCTTTGAGATCCAGTCGGCAGGTCGCGGCTTCGAAAGGGACCGCGCGAAGGTGTCGAGGAGGAGGTTGGCGAAGTCGAGAGTCGAGGCCGCAGGTCATGTTGGCGCAGACCATCACTGAAATGTCGTATCTGTGCACAAGGGACGTCAAGAGTCACGTCCAGGGTCGTGAAAGCAAGACGAGACGACGCTCACCTCGTCGACCACCTCCCTCGAAACCTTTCTCCCTCATCCTGTCGCCTTGTTCTCCTCCGTCTCCTCCAAGTCCAGCTTCTCGAGTTCAATCTCGACACGAGGCGTCTCCCGTCCGCTCGAACTGCCTCGCTTGTCCTCCTCCTCATCCACCTTCGCAACTCGCGGTTTCTCCTCCTCCTCGTCCTCCTTCCGCTCTTTCTCGTCCCCTTCCTCGTCCACCGTGTCCTCCTCGTCGCCGTCGTCGTCGCTGACCCCGCCGGGATGGCATTCGCTCCACACCTTCGCCTCCTCCTGCTCGACCCGACCTTGGTGTCAGCTAGTCCTCCTCCTCGACGACGAGAGCCAGGCTTACCTTCCAAATCTCACGCACACACGGTCTGCAGTTGCTGCCACAGCACTCCCACGCCTCTGGCTCCTTCGGCGGCCTCGTGCTCCTCCCCGCCGCGAGCAACTGCGCCAGCCTCGACGGTGCGAGGCGACCTCTGCGGACGAGGCGAGCGAGCGTCGGCGAGTCGTCGATGAGCTCGCGATCGACGTCGCTCAGCGTGTGCAGCGACATCTCGACGGCACTGGCGAGCTCACAGCGCCCGTGATCCCGCGGCTGGCGGAAGGGAATTCGCTGCACGTGCCGTGAAAGGAGGAGGAGGAGCGGGTTCTCTCCCTCTCTCTCACTCGCTGCTGGATTACGACTTGCTCGAGGCTGCTTTCGATGGCTCGTAGCGTCTCGAGACGAACACTGGCGGCTCAGGCGGACTCGAGCGACGACGACCTCCCTCCTCCATCCGCATTGCTCAACACGCTCGCTACTCCCGCCAAACCTCCACGGGACATACCGACACAGCGCTCGCAAGTCACATCGACGCCGTCACGACGCAGTCCGCGGCTTACAGGCGGGAAGGAGGCCGGGTTGACGGGTTTGCGCACAGGCGAGGTGGTCGGCGGCGCAAACAAGGCGACGGCTTGTTGAGCGGGCGCTATTGCTGCTCTTCATGTGCTTGCTCTGACTTGCTCTAGCTGGACGCTGTGAGGGCCCGGCGCTCTTGCCTACGTCTCCTCTCTCCATCCCTCGCCTCCTCAACCAGCCTCGACTACCCCCTCGATCTCCGACGACTTCCGACATGCTCTCCACCAAGACCATCCTCACCATCTCGGCGCTCGCGACCGCCGCCCTCGCTGCTCCCAGCGTCGGCATCGACGACAAAGGCCTCGGTGCGTTTCGCTCCCTACACTCAACAGCGTCCTCCGAGACTAACTCCGGCTCCGTTCGCACCTTCCTCGCTCGCAGGCTACGGCGGCTACGGCAACAAGGGAGCCGTCGCATACGGCGGTGCCGCCGAGAAGGGTGCGTTCCCGCTCGCTCCTCCTCATCCTTCACCCCGCTAACTTCGCCTGTCCCGCAGAGCAAGCCGCCGACTGGGCGAACGCCGAGAAGCAGGCCGAGGCCGCCAACCACGCTCAGGGTGCGTCTTCGCTTCCTCCGCTCCTCTCCGTTCCTTCGCTGACTCTGTTCACGTCCGCTCGCACAGCTGCTCACTCGGGCGCCGAGCAGGTTGCTGCCCACAACAAGGAATACAACCACGCCAACGGCGCGTACGACAAGGCCCAGGGCAACGCTCAGGAGTGGAATACCGCCAAGAAGTTCGGCGGAAATGCTGGTCACGGCAACGCGTACAACAGCGGTGCTGATGTCGCCGAGCACGAGGCTCAGAACAACGGTGCGTTCGTGCTCTCGACTCCTCGCTCGCAGCGCTCGTTCCAGCGCTAATTCGCACTCTTCGCAGGCCACGCCGCTGGTTCGTCACCTCCTCTCGTCTCGCCAGCTCCGCCTCGCTGACTTGCCTTCGTCTTCCCCTCGCAGCTTACGGCTCGAAGCTTGGTGGCTACGGCGGATACGGCGGCGGTGAGTTCGCGCTATCCTCCCTTCCCCTCCGATCTCCACTGAACTTTCAGTGCGGCCCCGCTCACTCCGCTCCTTCCTCTCCTTCACCGCTGACCTTCGCGTCATCGCCTGCACCCTCGCAGCCAAGGGCAAGGCGGTCTTCCTCTTCGACGGCATCAAGAAGGACATCAACAACCGCGAGTTCTACTACGAGGAGTTCTGCTACAAGCAGTTCAACATCGCCGAGCATAACGCTGATGGTGCGTTCCTTCGTTTCCTCTCGTTCCCTTTCGCCCTCGCTGATCTCTCCCTCTCGCAGTTGCCAAGCACAACACGGCTGTCGTCGGTGGTGCTGCCGGCCTCGGCGGCAGTTACGGCGGCGAAGGCTTGAAGGACAAGAGCGGCGTCCACAAGCGTAGCGTCCTCGGCGGCGGCCTCGACGGCGGCATCTTCGACAAAGGCGCATTCCTCGACGGATGGGGTTCGATCGACGCCTTTGACGGCGGATACGGCGGCAAGGGTCTCGGTGCGTTTTCCTTTCGGCCCATAGGCGTAACAAGGCTGACCTTGCGCTTGCGCAGGCCTCGTCGGCGGCGCGTACGGCGGCAAGGGCTTTGTCGGCTCGGGCTACGGCGGTGCTGCGAAGCAGGGTGCGTCTCGCTCGCCTCCCGTCTTCCCTCTTTCGCTCGCTGACTCCCTCCTTTGCTCGCTCGGTCTCCGCAGGCCACGCCAACGAGTGGGCCGACGCCGACCACTACAACAACGGCGCCAACTACGCCAAAGGTGCGTCCCGCATCCCTTTTCTCTACGGGCTCGCTGAGTCCGCTCGCACACAGCCAACCACGCCGCCGTCGAGCAGG